GACTATACTACTTATACTATACGTTTGGGGACTACAGCACGGCAATTTATACTTGGTACATGTGGGCACTTGTTTAGTGGTGGTCACTCATTTATGTTGAAGGATTCATTATAGTCCTTGTAGATTGTCTTCTAGTCAGGGTTAATTTATTCTGACCGTCCTATTGTTTGTTTCTATAGGCACAATAGTGCCATTTGTCAGTTTATTTCCACTGCACCTTTGGGCATTCATTTATGCCAAGTGTTTTATCACGTGTGGTTTAGTACATGTTTGTGATTTCACCCTGTTTAGGGACACAAGTGGGTTTATGTATTGTGTTTTTATGTATTTTGCATTTATATTTTATTTCATATGGTTTATCAAACATCACTGTATAAGATTGTATAATATTATGAAAAATTGAGTTTGTGATAATTATACACAGGAGGATTTACTAGGGGTGTAATTGAAATTATTATTTATATATATAAGTACAAAGTGTGGGAGCGCAGCACCAATTTTGTTATAATTTTGATCCCTGTATAGCCAGGTGTCAGCGGCAAACCCATTCCTAGAACAATAGTTTGAGGGTAGCGCAGGTGGTTCTCCATTGTTTTTTTACCAGATTTTTATGGATCCTTCGGCAATCTGCCCCACCTATGTGATCTTTCTTCATTGGTTTTCTATTACATGTTGGAAATATCATTTATGGATTGAAAGTTAATGCATACTATGTTTTTAAATAGTACTAATTTTCTATCTCCTCAAATATACGGTCCTGAATACGCTAAATGCGAAACACATTGACTGTTGAAGATGGATAAAATCTGAACATGTTATAGATATTATTATAGATATTTACTCCAATTATATGTATATCAGGAGGTTATAACTGTTTTGGAAGTATCCCCCCATATGTACTTTTTAATTCAGGCACATATGTCTGATATGTGCCTAGTTTTATTATAATTTCCCCAGGCCTTTCTCTATCCAAATTACAGCTTATCTCCTCATAGAAGGTTAAAAAGTTGGTCTTGCAAGACAGGTCTTTTATAAATCCATGTTGCATGCTACGAATACTATATTTATTAGCAAATTATTGGATATGGTCCCTTATCATTCCATCCAATAGTTTATATTCTATTGATGTTAGGCTGCCTGGTCTGTAGTTTCCAGGTATACACCAATCGGCCATAACATTATGACCACTGACATGAAATATGAGTAACATCGATTATCTTATTACAGTGGCACTTTAAAGTGGGTGGGATACATTAGGTAGTAAATTAATATAATATGTTGTCCCTAAAGTTGATGTGTTCAAAGTAGAAAAAATGGACAAGAATAAGAATTTGAGCGACTTTGACGAGGGCCAAATTGTAAAGGATAGATAACGGGGTCAGAGCATCTCCAAAACTGCAGCTCTTGTGTGATGTTTCCTGTCTGCAGTGGTCAGAACTTACCAAAAGTTGTTAAAAGAAGAAAAACTGACAGCAGGGTCATGGGCAGCCAAGGCTCATTGATGCACATAGGGAGCGAAAGCTGACCCATGTAGTCTGATTAAAATAGAAGAGCTTCTGTAGCTTAACCTTTACCCGCTCGGCCTATGGCAGTTGGTGGCCGGCAAAATTCCTCAGCGTTCCGGGTGGACGCCATATGGAGTCCTCCCGGGCATGCGCAGTTTGCGCGCCTGCAGAGCCACGCAGCGGCGCCATCTGTCACCGGCCGTGTACCTCGGACACGGCCGATGACAGATCTGAGTACCGGCCCCGTTGCAGGTACCATGTGACCTGCTGTGACCAATCACAGCAGGTCACATGACAGTTGTTTACCATGGATGGCTTCATTCATGCCATCCATTGTATACTAGTGTGCCTAGCTGTGAATGGTCACAGCGATCACATGCACAAGCTGGGCCAATCATAAGCAAATTGTGTAAAAAAAAAAATACTGATCACTTCCCCAAAGTAGTACAATGTTACTATGGTAACATTGTACTACTTTGGTCATAGTGAAATATGAAAAAAAATCTTAAAAAAAGAAAACAAATGTAATAAAAATATTAAAAATAATAAAAAAGAAAATTAAACTTTTTTTTTTTTTTTTCATACTCTCACCAGTCAGTGTCCCTGATCAACGCCATGCCAGTTATATGATGACGCTGTACTACAGTGGTGACAGTATGCAAAAAAAATAGTGAAAATTATTTTTTCAATTTTTTCATTTTCCGAAAAATTCTGACAAAAAAAAATACAAATTCAAAAAACTCGCCATGCCTCTTATAAGGTGTGTTGGACTGTCTACTTTGCAAAAAGGGGTCATTTGGGGGATATCTGTACTGTTCTGACATCTTGGACCTCAAGAAATTAGATTTGGCCATCAGTACTTCAGGATTGATCAATTTTTCAGATCTATACCATAGTTTTTTGTGAACTCTATAACTTTCCTACAGACTAGGAATAATACATCCTGGGTTAACATTTTCGCCAAAGACATTTTAGCATAGCAGAAAGTACATCTTGAGCCTCTTGGTATTTATGAAGAACAATTATTTATTTGCAAACTTTTATAACAGAAACAAAGAAAAAACATGTTTTTTTTTTTCTCTCAAAATTTTCGGTCTTTTTTTGTTAATTTAGCAAAAAATAAAAACACCAGTGGTAATTAAATACCACCAAAAGAAAGCTCTAGTTGTGTGAAGAAAATGATAAAATTTTAGTTTGGGTACAATGTTGTATAACCGCGCAATTGTCATTCAAATTGTGAGAGCGCTGAGACCTGAAAAATGGCCTGGGCAGGAAGGGGGTAAAAGTGCCCGGTATGGAAATGGTTAAATAGCTGAAAAGGTTGATGCTAATGATAAAAAGGTGTCAGAGCACAGTAGCATCACACTTTGTTACATATGGGATTGTGTAGCTGCAGACTGGTCAGGGTGCCGACTCGTATCTACAGTTAAAAAGCACCTACAATGGGCACGTGAGCAGAAGAACTGGACCACAGAACAATAGAAGAAGATGGCTCAGTCTGAGGAATTCAAGAATCGTTTGAGGAGCACAACAAGTGTGAGGTGTTGTCCTGGCTTTCAAATTCTCCAGTCCAATCAAGCATCTGTGGAATGTGCTAGAAAAACAACTCAGATCCATGGAGCCCCTACCCTACAAATTACAGGTTTTGAAGGTTCTGCTACTCACCCCAGATACCTCAGCATACCTTCAGAGGTCTAGTGGAGGCCATGCCTTGAAGAATTTTGGTGGGTGGTCATAATGTTATGGCTGATCTCTGTATATCTTTTTTGATTATTGGTACATTTGCTTTTGCCAATCTGCTGGTACCATTCCAGTAAGTAAGTGGTCCTTAAAAAATAGGAATAATGGTCTGGCTATAACATGGCTAAGTTCTAGGAGTACTTATAAGTGACAGATTTTAGCATTGTCCATTTCTATATTGAAAGTGTTTCTTTGAGCAAACTACCTCTACAGTACCCTATGCTCCCTTGGGACCTCAATTTGGTTCTCTTTGCCCTGCAGAAACCACTTATTGAACCCATCAGGGAACTCACTTTGGAGGATATCTCCTGGGCGTTCCAACATCCAAGCCTTTCTCGCCCAGCTTTGGTGGTTCATACCTTTTCAAAGTTCTAATAGGATGTATGATGTTCTTTGGATGCAGTTTTCAGCAGCAAGATTCCTGCAACAGCACTCCTGAGTGGGATCTGTTGACCCTTGGTATTGTTGGGCCTGTTGGCACACTTTTGTATACTTTTGCTGTTGCCCAACCTTTTTAGTCATTACTAGGTGATGTCCCAGTATCTGTTAATATCAAGCCTGTGTTCTGTCATGTGCGATTACAATAGTAGGAATTTTTACTTGCCTGTAAATTCTGTGTACTGGGGTACATTAAAGGTCACAGGCCACCTTCCCCACTATTCCTGTGTTACACTGCATTGCTTGCTTCAAAAGTGAAGACTCAATGAGTTGGATAAGAGCTTGCTTAGAGGGCATTTCATTAAAAGCTTTGCCAGTGTCTAATCATTTGAAGATACCACCCTATACCCCATCAAGCCTGTAAATGTAATGTTCTCCAAGATATTGCATTTACAGGGATGTCTTTTTTTTTTTTTTTAAAGAAATTCTGCTAGCAAGTGGCCTGCTTAAGTAGGAAGAAATGAAGTGCAGTTGTTATGTTTTTTTTTCTTCTAGCTTTGTGAATGTCATCTTGATCCTCATCTAGTACTTTGAGGTCAGGCTGTGTAACAGCTTTATCCTCAAAAGACAAAATAGCATCTTATTACTATATCTGCTTATAATGTTTATTCTATAATGTATTCTCTACAGATAACTGAAGTAGTTTATGTAATCCATGTTTTGCTTGCTCCAAATATGTTTGCTTACACTCACCAGCCACTTTATAAGGTACACCTTGCTAGTGCCAAGAAAATATCCCGCACAGCATTACACCACCAGCTGAACCATTGATACAAGGCAGGATGGAGCCATGCTTTCATGTTGTTTATTCCAAATTCTGACCTTACCATCTGAATGTTGCAGCTGAAATCATATGCGCATTCTCCTTTGACATCTACCATGCATATTTATTCACACAACTGCCTCTCACTGGATATTTTCTCTTTTTCGGACCATTCTCTGTAAACTTAAGAGATGGTTGTGTGTGAAAATCCCCGTAGATCAGTTTTTTTAAATACTTAGACCAGCCCGTCTGGCACCAACAACCATGCCATGGTCAAAAACATTTAAATCCCCTTTCTTCCGTATTCTGTTGCTTGGTCTGAACCTCAGCAAATCATCTTCACCATGTCTAAATGCATTGAGTTGTGGCCATGTGATTGGCTGATTAGCAACTCGTGTTGCCAAGCAGTTGAACAGGTGTACCTAATAAAGTGTCTGGTGAATGTATATTGTTAGTCTATATTTCTGGTCCTTTTAATGTTGGACATTTTACTTTCTATAAATTTTCTCCATCACTTTCACATTCCATTGAATGTTTTCCATTCTATTTGTTAGGACTGCCATGAGCGGATCAGAGTGCTGTCTCAACAGGCTGCGGCTGTAGTAAAACAAGAAGGTGGAGACAATGACCTGACAAACAGAATCCGATCTGACCCCTATTTTGCCCCCATACATACTCAGCTGGACCAGCTACTTGACCCCAAATCTTTTGTTGGTCGAGCTCCTCAACAGGTGAGCCTAGCATTAGCATGTCTTCTGTATGCTACCATTTTAAGTAATTTTATTTACAAGTTTTTTGTTACCTGCAATTAAAGGTTTCTCTAAAAGCACCAACTGAATTATTTTAAATTTCTATTATGCTCTCTGTGTAGGTTACCAGGACTATTTGACAATTTACTGCCTGCCATGCAGACTTGTTACCTAGTTTGCTTCTTTGAATGTGTCTGGTACTTCCAAAGAGTGAAAAGTTAAAACAAACTCACAAATGCAGTAGCTGTGAGCTTCTTTTAATTTTTATCAGTGGGCTCTAAGCTTTAAACTGTAACTTTAGTCAGAAAATTCCTGATAGAGCACTTCATACTGGCCCCTTTTGCAGGTATAGCTATGTAAATAATTAAAATAACTGCCTATACAATTTAAATCCAGAAACACAGTCACATCCTGCTCTGCATATGCTCAGTTGCTTTCTATTCTTGGCACTTTGCCTAAAATTAAAGCCGCTAGAGGTTGATCATTTTGTAGCTTTAAGATTTACTGTTATTAAAGGGGTAAGAAAGCAACAGGAATGACATAGACACTGCTTAGGGAGGGATAAAAGAAATGCAAAAGTGTGCAAGGACACACTGTGCTGCCAGGGAGATACAAAAGATTTAAACCTACAAGGAGAGTGTTTTATCTCCGTGGTATTCTCTCCTTTCTCCCTCAGCAGCTGTGAAGTTCAGTACTGTAAAGCACATATTATAGTACATATTTTAATTATAGAGAGTGACATTGTTTTTAAGACCAAGGAGAGGGGGAGAGTTTTCAATAAGGAAGCAACTGAAGTGGGCTTCAATAAAATGGCAGCCTCGAGCAAGAACAAACATGAGCAATTCTGGAGGGAATTTACAGCACACACTAATTTTGGTAGCATAATTATTAATGTGAAATGTACATTTTTTTTTGGTAAAGAACATTGTTATCAAACTGATAAAATTCAGCTTTAATGTAAAAGTGATCTAGGTTGCTGTGACAGGTATGTACAGGTGAAACTCGAAAAATTAGAATATCGTGCAAAAGTTCATTTATTTCAGTAATGCAACCTAAAAGGTGAAACTAATATTTGAGATAGACTCATTACATGCAAAGCAAGATAGTTCAAGCCGTGATTTGTCATCATTGTGATGATTATGGCTTACAGCTCATGAAAACCCCAAATCCACAATCTCAGAAAATTAGAATATTGTGAAAAGGTGCAATATTCTAGGCTCAAAGTGTCCCACTCTAATCAGCTAATTAAGCCATAACACATGCAAAGGGTTCCTGAGCCTTTAAATGGTCTCTCAGTCTGGTTCAGTAGGAATCACAATCATGGGAAAGACTGCTGACCTGACAGTTGTGCAGAAAACCATCATTGACACCCTCCATAAGGAGGGAAAGCGTCAAAAGGTAATTGCAAAAGAAGTTGGATGTTCCCAAAGTGCTGTATCAAAGCACATTAATAGAAAGTTATGTGGAAGGGAAAAGTGTGGAAGAAAAAGGTGCACAAGCAGCAGGGATGACCGCCCCTGGAGAGGATTGTCAGGAAAAGGCCATTCAAAAGTGTTGGGGACTTTCACAAGGAGTGGACTGAGGCTGGAGTCAGTGCATCAAGAGCCACCACACACAGATGGATCCTGGACATGGGCTTCAAATGTCATATTCAAATGTTAAGCCACTCCTGAACAACAAAAAAAGTCAGAAGCGTTTTACCTGGTCTGTTGCTCAGTGGTCCAAAGACCTCTTTTCTGATGAGGGCAACTTTTGCATCTCATTTGGAAACCAAGGATCTAGAGTATGGAGGAAGAATGGAGAGGCACGGGCACGTTTGAGAGGGGAGGAGCCTGAACATGGCGGCAGCTGAGGGCTGGAGGTAGGAGCTCTCGGCTAAGCTCCTTCTCAAACCTTCCCAGGGGCCTTTCGATTGGGGTAAAAGCCGAGACTTACCCGAGAGTCGGAGGGGTCTGGTGGAGGAGCGGAGGTGCAGAGTCGTGGAGCGGAGAGAGAGGTCCGCCCGGAGCTCGGCGGATCAGAGAGCCGTGTCGCCGGGAGACAGGAAGAGCAGGCGGGTCACGTGACCAACCGCAAATGAGCACTGGGAGCGGAGGAAGCCGGCCGGCTTGTGGAGTAAGGGAGAAGGCGGCTTTCTGCTCCTTGTGTCCTGCTCCCTAGTCATACCCCCTGGCTGGTCGTGCATAGGGGTGAGGACCTGGAAAGAGCCTCCCTGTGAAGGACCCCTATGGAATCAGGAGAAGGAAGAGAAAAAGCCCAGGGGAATCCCCCCCAAGGCGCAGAGGAGCTGGATATCAGCGCAGAGGAGCCGGATACCTGAAACCCCTGTCTTCTACACAGCAAGGGACGAGAGACATGGGTGAATGAGAGACTTTGGAACTGTTGCTTTTTTTAATGTCCCATAGTGCTGTTGAGGAAGATAAGGGGAGATAAGGGGGATTCCCAGGGGTTCCTGAAATAAAAGCAACCTAAGAGGAGGAGAATCGGTCATTAATTGGGCTAGGCTGGGACCTTTATATCTATGCGAACCATCTTTGTATAAAAGAGAGCAATGCCCATGAAAGGAATGAAGAACAAAAGCAGTAAAGGAAGTGGGGCAAAAGGGCCCCAAATGGGAACAATTAAACAATATACATCCCAGGGAAAAGTGACCCCAGAAAAAGCTCAAGATAAATAAAACGGAAAAGACGAAGGGGATATTAGTGTGGAAAGTAGCCCAAGACTATCGCTGGGACTAAATATCAGCAGTCAACAAATAGGAGCCATGGAGATGAGAGAGAATGAAAGCGAACTACAAGTGCCAAACAAAAAAGAAATGGCAGAGATGTTTAAAGATCTAGAGATGATAATTAGAGATGAGCGAATTATTCAAAAATTCGATTCGGCTGATTCGCCGAATTTGCGGGAGAAATTCGATTCGATGCGAATTTATTCGCCGCAAATTTAACTTATTTAAAGGGTTTCTAGGCTTCAGAGAGCCTTTATATTAGTGCAGAACACTGTACCTTTAATTTAAATGCCCTTGGAGTCTGCTGGGGAAGAGAAATAATACTGTCAGTCAGTATGACATGCAGATGAGTGCCGTCGATCTTAGAATCACCGCACACTTCACTCATTTGGGCAGTCACGGGGCACGACGAAGAAGAAGAAGAATGAAAAGAAGAAGAAGAAGAAGAATGAAAAGAAGAAGAAGAAGAAGAATGAAAAGAAGAAGAATGAAAAGAAGAAGAAGAAAAAGAATGAAAAGAAGAAGAAGAAGAATGAAAAGAAGAATGAAAAAAAGAAGAAGAAGAAGAAGAATGAAAAGAAGAAGAAGAAGAATGAAAAGAAGAAGAAGAAGAATGAAAAGAAGAATGAGAAGAAGAATGAAAAGAAGAAGAAGAATGAAAAGAAGAATGAAAAGAAGAAGAAGAAGAATGAAAAGAAGAAGAAGAGAATGAAAAGAAGAAGAAGAAGAATGAAAAGAAGAAGAATGAAAAGAAGAAGAAGAAGATGAAAAGAAGAAGAAGAAGAATGAAAAGAAGAAGAAGAAGAATGAAAAGAAGAAGAAGAATGAAAAGAAGAAGAATGAAAAGAAGAAGAAGAATGAAAAGAAGAAGTATTCCAGTACAGCAAAAAGTGTATCTGCAGAGAGCTACGCTATTTCTGACAGTTCTCTGACAGTTCCTTCACATTTACAGCGGTTGAAAAACATTGTATCTATTTATTTCCGAATAAAAACATCTGTATCCTAAATGGAAACAAATAGATACAATGTTTCAACCGCTGTAAATGAACTGTCAGAACTGTCAGAAATAGCGGAGCTCTCTGCAGTGACACTTTTGCCGGCTGATCGGGAAAAATTCGATTCGTGCACCCGAAGTTTGCTAAAATTCTGATTCGATGCGAATCGAATTTTTCCTGAAATTCGAAACGAATTCCACTTCGCCAGGTTCGATTCGCTCATCTCTAATGATAATAAAACAATAAATGGCAACTATTCGAAAGGATCTAGGGCAGGTGCTGGTGAGAGTGGAAGAAATGGAGGAGAAAAGTAAAAAACAGGTTCAAAATATTGTGGAATTAAAAAAGAAAATAAAGAATATGGGGAAAATACAGGAAAAATTGATATATAAGATGGAAGTTCAAGAAAATTGGAATAGGAGGAGCAACCTTAGGATAAGGGGAGTCCCAGAGAATGTAAAAGGGGAAACATTGCAAGAATTAATAAAAAAAAAATTTAAACTCCATATTGGACAGACCTGCCGTGGAGGTGATTGACTTGGAAGATATTGTGAGAGTAGGAAAGCTCCAACAAGGCAATTGGAAAGAAAAAAACAAGGGACGTAATTGTTAAATTTAACAATTATGGAGATAAAGAAGCAATCTGGAGAAAGATCAAAGGAAAAGCAGTAATTAGATATGGAGAAATGGACATCCAGATATATGCAGACCTTACACCGGAGACTTTGTGGTGAAGGAGATCCTTGAAACCTTTACTAGAGCAGATGAGGAAAAAGAATGTGTTTTATAGATGGGGGATCCCAGCATGCTTAATTGGATGGAAAGATGGAGTTACAGCCTATTTGAGATTCCCGGAAGACATGAGAGATTTTTGTGAAAAACTGGGGTTGCAAAGAATTGTGATGGCCGGATGGGGGGAAGAGGAGAGAGAGATAGGGGCAACAAGACAAGAGGACTGGCAATTTGTCAGAGGGAGGAATTAGGGTGGTGAGGGGGGAGAGGAGTTTGTGGTGGGTTTTTTTTGTTTTTTGTTTTTTTCTTCCTCTTGCTCTAGTGTCTCTCTCTCTCTCTTCTTCCTAGCCTCTTTTTTTTTTTTTTTTCTTTCTTAAAGAATAATATTTAGTTCTGTTTTCAAGGGACACCTAGAATTTCTAATGGAAGACACCGGGGAGGGGGGAGGGAGGAGGAGCCGTCCATGGGCGGAGTTTGACCCCTAGTTTCAAATCAAGGGTGAGGTGTTAGACCCACAAATGATTAGTAGGTATAATAGTTGTTGCCTGGAAGGG